AGGGAAGGGGTGGAGAAAAAACTTGTTTGCACAGCCCGCTTACCTACCCAATGATGTTGCCTGTCAGGATGCCTATGCAACAGCTTCAGGAGGCGAAGCACCCAACAGCATGGATCGAGTTTGAAAAAGGTTTGATCACAGAGGTAGGTAAATTTGAAAACACTCCTGCAGCCTGCTGCTCTTTTTTTTTTTTTTTTAAAGAATGCCGTTAACAACTTAACATGCTTTGTTTTTTTGTTTTTTTTTTTGATTCTCTCTTATTCTAATTTGTAAATTTAAAACTTACTCAAAATTTATAGCGTCAGCATACCACCACAGCTAGGCTACCAGAGTGGCCCGGGGTCACTTGCCCGGCCGGGCCAAAAAAAAAAAAAATAAAAAAAAAAAAAAAAAAATAAATTTGGTGAAGAATTTCAATGTGACCCTGAGGCACAAGTTGTTCAGTTTATTTTTCTGCATAACATAGTTTTTTTTTCGGAGTTTTTGGAATTTGTTTTCTTGTTTTTTTTTTTTTGCTGGGACCTTCCCTGGTCCGTGCACGGGCTGGCCACCCGGGACCCGGGCGGCCCGGCTGGTAGCCTACCACCACAGTCGTGCACCCTATTCTGCACAAGTAATGTAATTAGCTGTTGACGTCAACATGCCACAAGCACTTAGTGATCACTTGTCCATGCATTCATTCATGGGAGAACGAACAACACTCCGCACCACGTCCGCTTCACACCAACGCGCAAAGAAAAGAACGTTGACAAGAGATAAACAGCACAGTTCCAAAGTCAAAGGTGCCACGTGTCGTCAAGAGATAAAGAGATATAAACGAACAAACGCAGCGCCGAAGATCTAAACCTTGACAACAACGAAAAAGATGACTCAGCCCAAAAGAGATCAGCTGGGGTTTCCCAAGACCACTGATATGGCGCTGTGGTTCAGAGCCGGCCCGCATCAGGAGGGAGGGAGAGGGGGGGGGGGGGGGGGGGGGGGGGGAGAGGGGGAGAGAGAGAGGAATGACAGGGACCAAAGGGCATAGCTTAGTTGGTACACCCCTCAACTGTTGAAATCTGGACCCAAGTTGGAATCCAGATGCAATCAGATGAACAGAATAAAATTACCTGGGGCCGCTCAGTTCAATTATCTATCACAATAATATCTCAATGCTATCGCCCTTTTTTTTTTTAAACAAAAAAAAAGGAGGAAAAAAGGGAGTTTGACCGGCGGAGCACCTACTCCCTCCTTCGCCAGAATGCAACATCCGGTCCTTTTTAGCTGTATTTGGCCTATCTTTCGGTCTACGTACGGCATCATTGACCGTATGTCGTTTTTTTTTTTTTTTTTTTTTTTTTTTTTTTTTGACCGTATGTCGAATTCAGGATGACGAAGGTTGTAATAGAACCAACTACTCCCGGTAGGTTGTGTCCTTCCAGGAGATCATAGTTGGAACGAATGAGGATAACGCACTCGGCGATTATGTAGTAGTGGCGGCTGAATCGACATGATCATTCTCTAAGTCAGCGAGTAATGGCTTGGACTCTTCGGACCTGGTTCTGGTGGGCTGCATATAACATCAAAGCGATACAGGCGAGCAATCGCTAACGCGCCTTCGGTCTCCGTAAGGCGCGAAAAAATACACTATACACAGTGCCACCTACAATGAAATTACATTTCCATCCAGCCTCTGTCGAGAATTCAGATTCAATTTGTCGTTTTGATGCTGCAATACCATACAAAGTTACAAACACAAACTTTGACAGTTCCAGTGGCATGGCTAAATAGTAAATACATGGCAATGAAATCCTGCCACGTTGAGATCATGAAAAGCATACTACAAGTAGAGAGTAGAAGAGTAGAATTAACACCATAGATTCAAAAAGCATTCAAAGAAAGTTGGTGAGCAGGACCTCCCATTTCCAAAACTACATCCGGTTCTGTCCCACTGCTTGACCCGAAGAATTCATCACCGTCCCACAAAGCTCTCGAACCGGTACCCTAGCCTTCAAGAACGTGCTACAAAGCTTGCTTACAAAAAGCAAATCCCTTATAATAATAAAAAAAGAAAAAAAGAAAAGCAAAGAATAAAAAGAACAGGAATGCCAATTATGCCATGTAACAACGAGAGAGACTTCGTGTCGAAGGTAGCACCTCCACATGAGCACCTCCACATGAGCACCTCCACATGAGAACCGCCCAGATCGACGATCGGAAAGAGCATACAGTGAGCATGTCACCGCGGCGAGTGAGGCTTTGTGTGGAAGGTAGCACCTCCACAGGCACAACAAAGCACAGAAAACAACGACACACACCGAGAGATAGATAGATAGATAGATAGATAGATAGAGAGAGAGAGAGAGAGAGAGAGAGAGAGAGAGAGAGAGAGAGAGAGAGAGAGAGAGAGAGAGAGAGAGAGAGCACCAGCGCACAGGGAAGTGGGAGCCAGATCACCACTGTCCTTGGTTGGAAACGTAGATGCACAGCTCCCCAAGAACAATCCAGGGGGTGGTCCTCCTCTCAACAACATCAGCCGGCGATGGTCGAAGCCACAAATCAAAATCATGCCGCCAGCAGCGCCAATGCATAGCTCAACCGCCAGCGCACGTTCTTCCGTCAAGCAAAAATGACAGCTTGGTAGCCTAGTTAAATTAAAAGTACTGAAAAAATAAAAGTAGTAGTTAAATTAGTAGCCTAGTGAAATGAAAAGTACTAAAAAATGAAGAGTTTGGGCGCCACTCTGGTAGCCTAGTTATTAAAGTACTAAAATAAATAGTAAAATTAAAAATTTTCCTAAGAATTTGTGCGGGCTTGGGGGAAAATTATCTTTTACCGTGCGAAGGAATACAAAAACAATTTTTTTTTTGTGTGTCTCACTGTGTCTCTTGCATTTTTTTAAGTTTTTTTTTCCCTTTTGGATTATTTTTGAATTTATAATGTTTTATATCTTTTCAAATGTCAATTTGTTAACATTAAATGATTAAAATTTAAAAACACTTATTCTTTCTCCATATCCTGAACTGCAGGAGGAGCTCTTCAGAAAGTTCTTTAAAGATGGACGGCCGGTTGATGTGCAAGGTACACACTGCAACCATTGCTCCTCGTCTGTCGCTCACGCGGTATCTCGCTGCGACTTCTTCTCAGTCAGTCATGGTGTCCACCCTTCTCCCACACGCACATGGTCCTCTTCTTGGTTCGCCATTCATGCGGCCATGTCGCCCTCCCTGAATTGTCATTTGTGTTTGTTATTTCATATGCCAGCGGCATGGCCACATGTTAATTTGGGGCAAGAAGGCGGCGAGGGGTGTCATTTGTGTTTGTAATTTGGATATGGAGTGTACTTTTTGGTTGTGACAGACCTTTCTTTGTTTTGTGGGTGTTTTGCTTGGTTGTTGCTTGTGATGGGGTGTGAACCGACAGTCTGTAGAGTTTTCCATCTGGTGTGGATGAGTGATAATCTGCTTTGATTTTCGTCACAGGTACCTTGAGGGCAGTGGTTGGTGGTCCCCACCACCTCAGAGGGGTATCAGTTGTCGGGCAGTCATTGATGCTTAACCACAGCCGGGGTTAAGGAAGGTGGATTATTACTTACAGTGTAATCAGTTAGGTAGGGGACTCTGCAGACTGTTTTTGAGGGTTCAGCCTCTACTGATTGACGAGTCAGTGAAACTCCGACGAAACAGTTTGTCACAGCCCCTCGTTTGTTGTCCTCTTCTCCCTCCCTCTCTGCCTACAGTTCACCGGGCAGCTCTGTTTGACGATCTATATATATATATATATGATCGTATATCGTCAAACAGAACTGCGGGGTAAACGGTAGACAGGGAGGGAAAAGAGGATCATACACTACGTCTCATCTGCGTTCTCACGTATTTGGACATACGTTCCATGTGCCGGACTGAGTCCGCGTACCGTCTTCACCTGAAGAGAACGCCTGGTCCTAATTGCTGTATCTGGACTGAAAGGTGATGCAAATGCACAGCTATAATGACCGGGCGTGCTATTGCGGTGAAGACGGTAGTGCAATGCGCGTATACTCTGTCGAGGCTGACTGTCAAGTCAATGCATCGAGTTCCAGTCGGTGCAAGCAAGTGCCCTCCCTCCCTCCACCTTCTCTCATACGCTTCTGAATTTAGACTGAAAGATCATCCAAAATACAGCTATATTGTTGACTTCCTCCTGTTAACAGAGTCTGCTCCTTGGTTAAATGCACAGCATGCCTATTATGAGATGCAGCTTAATACGTTGATATATCCGAACCGTGATTAGTCCGGGGGTTATCACCATCTTCTCCCAATGTGTTTTTTGCCCAATATACCTCCACTTTGCAAAACAGTTTGTTATGCATTAATTTCATTTTTCTGATCTTGTTCTCCTTCATATGTGTGCACTGGCTGCTACTCAATGATTAATGCCACCTCTCCCCTCCCTCTTACCCCATCCCAACCCCCAAATGGCAGGTCTCAAGCGCTGTGTATATCAGGGCTATGAGTGGCTGGATGGATGTGAGGGGATTCTACAGAGGCTCAAGGGCTTGGGTTATTGCATGCACGCTCTCTCCAATTATCCCATCTGGTAAGGGTTTCCTTAATTTTTTTTCCTTACTTTTAAAAGCTAGGCTACCAGCCGGGCCGCCCGGGTCCTGGGTGGCCAGCCCGTGCAAGGACCAGGGCAGGTCCCAGCAAAAAAAAAAAAAAAAAAAAAAAAACTGAAAAAAACTATGTTATGCAGAAAAATAAACTAAACAACTTTTGCCTCAGGGTTACATCGAAACTCTTCACCAAATTTAGAATTAAAAAATATATATATATATACATATATCTGTTTGTGACGATATATATATATGGTCTATTCATCACCCGCTTTTTCGAGTATCTACACACTGTCCTCGGACTACGCCTGTCACAGCCCCTTCTTCATTATCGGCGCCTGTCACACCTATCACAGCCTCTTCTTCATTACCTGCGTCTGCCGCACCTGCGTCCTCATCAGTCTTAGTAACCCCTTCCATGCCGTTTGTGACCCTGGCTGCCCCTTTCCGGTTCGCAGCCTCTTCGTCATCGGCCTTGGTTGCTTCTACGATTGATTCCGCGGGAGCAACTCGACCTGCAGCTGCTGTGTCGCCCTTGGTCTCGGTGTGTTCCTCCATGGCATCTGTGGCTACCGCAACCGTTGTGTCGCCCTTGGTCTCGGTGTGTTCCTCCATGGCATCCGTG